AGAAGGGTCCAGACCTGTTATTCCTTCCTCCGACACACGCCGTGCCCCCCTTACTCTCTCCTCCTCCCTCTCATCACCCCACCCATACTTCCTGCCTAGCCAATCAGTGTTTTATTCATCAACCAGTTAGAGAAACACACATATACAGAAGGGCACCCCATCAGTGGGGAGGTGGTGACTCTGAGTCAGGAAGCTCCGGGTGTTTCTTGGGACACTTGAACAATGACTGTTTACAGGACTTGTAGCTGGTCACACTGCCACCCCTGGGGTAAACAGGTTTTCTCACGAAGGTGTTGGGAAAATAAACAATGCACGCAGGGTAAGATGTGAATCCCGCCTGACTGGATAGGTGTGGATTGCATGCCTGTGATACCCGTGCTCAGTAAGCCGAGGCAGGAGGGATCCAGAGCTCCAGGACAGCCTGGGCTATTCCTGTTCAAACCGACAGTTCCTACCCCTGAGCATCTTCCCTTCATTTCTGTCCTGTATCCTGACCAGGCTGGTGGTGCCATTCTCAGCTCCGCCACTAGGAGGCAGCAAAGCTCAGGCCAAGGAAGAAGTTCTGTGGCTCAGACCCACGGTGGGCTGGGGAGCTGTTGTAGTTCCCTCTGCTTGTAGCCTAGAATCCCAGGTTCTTCCCTGGGGTTGGGACTTCACTGGTGTCCCCTCTTCTTGGCCCTGTTTTTACTGTTTCCTGTCTTCATGGGGTTGTGGTGGTAGCCAGGGGATCATGGAGGGTGCAAATACCCCAGCAGGAAAATCCATCCCAGGATCTATGGACTCTATGGGATGTTTCCACCCCTGCTGAAGGCTATCTCCACCTGTCATGCCAGAGCCCTCCCCACCCCTCCCACTTCATCTCCTCTACTCAGGAGCCCAGGCTAGGCACTCAGAGCCATCACTTATCTTTGAGACAGGGTCTTACGTACCACAGTCTGGCCTCAAACTCACTATGTAGACAAGGATAACCTTGGACTCCTGATCTTCCTGCCCCCATTTCCCAAGTGCAAGATTTCCAGGCATGCACACCACACCGGCTTTACACAAGTGTTCCACCTACCCACCAGGCTACATCCTTAGCTGCCTTTTCTTAATTTTGTTTGCCACTGACAGAAGTTTCATTTCTTTGATCACGTGCCCTCTGGGGATGCAAACCTGTCTGGGACACACACACACACACACACACACACACACACATACACAGAGTCACCTGCACAGAGTCCCCAGCCTCAAGCCCGGTCTGGTGTCTGTCTGCCCCCAGGAGAAACTGAAGAAGACCACCGAGGATGCAGACATTTTTGAGAACAGATACAAGGAGATGAGTAAGACCCTGGAGTATCTCAAGAACTCAGTGGAAAAGCTGTTTAAGAAGATTAACTGTGATGCAACGGAGATCCTGGGGAAGCTGGGCGAGACTGGGAAGATAACTGACACCAACCTTCAGCAGTACTTTGGTGAGCTGAGATGGGCCCCACCCAGCAATTAGGGACTCTTTCCATCATGTTCTGTGACCAGGCACAAGAACTCTTTCTTTCTGTGGTTGATAGTGAGCATGGTCCTGCTGCAGCCTGCCTGGGTTCAAATCCTAATTCTTTGCCTATAAGCTGTGTGACTTTGGCCACATTCCTGACCTTCTCTGTGCTCAGCTTCTTGCACCCCCAAAGCGAGGGTAAACTGAGGAACTATCTCATTGGGTTATTGGGAGGATTAAATATGGTATAGTTGGTGATGATTCCAGTTGATGCGGGAGAGCAGTTTAGTGAAATTCAATGCCCTTAATGAGAAAAACTAAACTAGAAGGGAGCTTTCTTACACACATACACAAGCACTATACTTGTACATGCGCACACACACCTGCACACGTGGATACACATGGATGTGCACACACACAAGGCGCCCACACAAACATTACACACACAGACATATGCACACACATGCACAAAGACATGTTCAAACACGCTCAAACACTATACACACATGCAAACAACACATACAGAAGCACATGCATGAGCATGCATGCACACACACATGTGCCTATATGCATGCATGTATGCATTCCTGTTCTCACACATATTTGAGCCTCATGTTTTTTTCTCTAAGGTTAGGAAGATGGTGAGGATGGAACTCCCATTGAGCTTATTTAGTGCTGTATAGTAATCCTTGCCAAGGCAATAAGACAAGAAAAAAAAAAGAATAAAAATCCTGATTGGAAGGAAGGAAGGAAATGAAGTGCTCAGAGCGGGGCCTGGTGTGTAGCAAATGCTTGCTAACTGCCTTCTGCATTTCCAGGTTTGGCTTCAAGCCCAGGGTAAAGAGGGGGCATGAAAACTCAGACCACGACAGGTTGGCATGAATGGTGCCTTCTGTTCTTAAATTTTAATTCACAGAGCCTGGAGAGATGCTTAGTAGTTAAGAGCACACACTGCTCTTGCAGATGTCCTGATTTTGAATCCCAGCACCCATATCAGGTATCCCAGGCAGAAGGAATGGCATAAACAAAGGCCTGAAGGTCAGGCTGCCCTGACCTTTAATTTATAGTGGAACACTGGTTTTCAGCCTTCTTATTGTCAACATCCGGGGAACCCATTTTGGACCATGCTTTCCAAGAAACCGTGATTTCTCGGTGCTTTGCATGTCTTACACCTTCTGTGTAGTTCCATGAGCTGCTCGACCTACATGTGTTAGAGTGAGACAGCCTTGGAGGTCAAGCTCCCATCTTCCCTCTGTTACAACCATGGCCACCCAGGCCGGCAGCCTTGACCTTGAACCTGTTATCTTCCAGCTATCATAGAAAAGAAGACTAACGACCTGCTGATTCTGGAGTCCTTCCGGCGCCTGCAGGATGCGGAGGGACCCGATATTGATGTCCCACAGCCCTTTATCAACCCCTTCTGGGGTGGCTCTGCCCTCCTCAAGGCCCCAGAGCCAACAAAGGTGGTGCCCCCTGTGTTTGGGGCAGACTCCTTCAGTGACAAACTTGAAGAAGGTGAGTTCTTGGTCACTGCCACCAAGGCAGGCCGATAGATAGAGTCCCTTAAGGAGCCTGAGTTCCTACAGGGTCTGTGGGCCAAGCGTCACATTACTTCCTTGAGTGGCATCACACTGTGTGAGCGCTCATCACACAGGGTTGGGGGTGGGGTGGGGATGGAGGGGGGTGAGGTCACTTGTTTGAAAACACAGATGGGAATAGACACTTAAGGAGAACTGAGGGTCAGAGTGGAAGTAGAAACATGTTCACTGCGGTCCCAAACCAAGCACAAGCAAAGAACCCTACACACACACACACAATCACACACACACTCAATCACACACATAATCACAACATACTCAACCACACACTCACACTCACACACAATCACACACACACTCAATCACACACACACTCAATCACACACATAATCACAACATACTCAACCACACACTCACACTCACACACAATCACACACACACTCAATCACACACACACTCCCACATACAATCACAATCTCACACGTACAATCACACACGCACAATCACACACACACAATCACACACACACTCAATCACACACATAATCACAACATACTCAACCACACACTCACACACAATCACACACACAATCACACACACACTCCCACATACAATCACACACACACAATCACACACACGCACAATCACACACATAATCACAACATACTCAACCACACACTCACACTCACACACAATCACACACACACTCCCACATACAATCACACAAATCTCACACGCACAATCACACACGCACAATCACACACACATTCAATCACACACACTATATACACACACTACACATGCTCATAAACATACATTCAAATGCACATATGCAAATACACCTACTTGCACACTCATGCACACTCACACACTCATAAACACATACTCATTGACACACATACTCATATACACTCAAACATACCCTTATTTATATACACACTCATGCACACACACACATATACTCAATCATACATATACTCATACACACACATGTAGACACACATACACACACATCATAACCTCTTAAGTCAGTCAGAACTTAACACACAGTGGAGTACTATGCAGCCACTAAAACGAATGTTCCTCTGGGTAGCGAGCGGTAGCTTGGCAATCAAACGGAGGCTGTGCTGTACAGCTTTGTCATTGACATTAAACCAGCATGCCCTGGCTCTTGCTTGGGATTCCCTGATAACACATCTCTGCCTGGAGCTCTGGGAGCACTTTCCACCCCATGACCATCCCAGCATGAGGGAGTGACATTGTCCCTGGGGAGGAAGCGAGCTGGGCATCAAATCCCAGCCCCTCACAGTGCTCTGTCCTGGGTTCAGTGGACTATCCCCTGGACCACAGTAGCCTCCGGCAGCTAGTCTTGGAGAACCTCCTTCAGAAGGACCGTAGCAAGGACCCACAGGACACCCTGTCGGAGAAGGGGGACGAACTAAGGCCCAAGAAGAAGGTGATAGGTTGAGCTGCAGGTGGCTGTGTTCCATACCCAGAGAGAATAAATGTTTTCTTCTGAGCCGCGGCCTTTACTGGTGCTGTGCTGAGGAGCTCCGAGAGCTGGGAACCAGCTCTACAGCGGTGGGGTGGGGGCGAGAAGGATGGGGCTCAAAATCCAGGTGCTTCTGTAGATAGTTCTGAGTTTGGGGGGCTCTGATCCCCCAGGACCCACCTTTTGAACCCCAGCTTCCTGCAAGGGGCTCATAGATACCTGTAGCAGAACTCTCTCTGCAGACCAGGCTGGCCTCAAATTCAGAGATCCACCTGCCTCTGCCTCCCGAGTGCTGGGACTAAAGGCATGCGCCAGGAAAAAGTCATTTCTTTTTTGAAATGAGATTCCTGCAGCCTTCACACAACCCAGATACTTTGTGAGATTGGCTATGCAGGACCAATGAGCCAACAGCCACCACAACTAGATCCAAGACTTCCTGTTTATTTGCACATGGCCTTGGGATGGGGCTGGGGCAGCAGGGGCTGGGCTGCAGAGCAGGTCACCCGAGACTGACGCTCAGGGCTCAGTCCTTCTCTTCCCCGTGGGTGATGATGTGGACCAAGTTCTTGTAATCTAGATTGCCGGTGACATCTGGGGGAAAGGCTGCGAACATCTGGTCGATCTGAAGCAAGAATTGTGGGTTACAGACACGGTGAAACTGGCAAGGGGCAGACAGGGCCTGAGATCCCAGGAAAGACCTGGGAAGGACCCCTGTTCCACAAGCCAGGACCTGTTCTAGAGCTGTCACCAGGTCTGGGGTAAGAGGGACACTCTGAAGGTCCAAAAGGTGACCTGGACTGACTCAGCTTAGTTACTGTCCTGGCTCAGCGTCTCTTTCCACATGTTCCTGGGTCATTACCATCCCTGTCTCTATTCCCCAGGGCGACCCCAAGGTCCCCTAGACACCCCAGATAACCCCACAGGGGAAAATGAAGATCCAGCCACACAGGGAGCTTGGCAGATCAGGCTCAGGTGTGAGAGGGCCTGGTGCAGATTGCAGCTAAATGCAGGCAGAGGACCAGTTGTGGTCACATGGCCAGAGAGGTCATATTCTTGGAGGGAGACAAGAAATCTAGGTGGGTTATTTTACATGTAGTCTCCCTGTTTAAAAAGTATTGGATAAAGCAGGTGCCTGTGATCCCAACACAGGCAGGCAGAGACAGGAGGATTGGGAGTCTAAAGTGACCTGGATTAAGTAATAAGTTCCAGGCTGGCCAGGGCTGTGTAGTGAGGCTGTCTTAAAGGGCACTCCCCCCACCAAACACATACGATTTTGGTTACTATTGGTCCCCCCACTTTTCTCTACCTTGTAGTGTTGGGGGTTGAACCCAAGCTTCCTTGCATGCCAGACGAGTGCTCTGGCTCCGAGCTACAGCCCTTGCCTTGTTACTTTTATTTACTGACGGATCTGACCAAGTTGCCCAGGTTGGCCTTGAACTCTGTAGCCTGCTCAGGCCTTAAACCTGCAATCCTCCTGCCTCATCTTCTCTGGTAGCTGGGATGATAGGCCTGTGTCTTGAGGCCTTGCTGGCTTGAACTTGTAACCACAGAAAAGACACTGTGTCCTGGCCCTGTGGTGGCATCGTGTATTGTGGACACCACCGAGCCTTGTGGCGTGTGGCAGTGGGTTCTGTTCTCATTCCACCTTGACAGATGGGGAGACTGAGGCACAGTGAGGTTAAAGTCTATAGGGTGATGGACACTAGAGGGAGACAGAGCTGCTGTGAAGGCGGGGACACTGGCGACCCTGTACCTCCTCTTTGGAAAATCTCTCTGCTTGTGTAGTCAGCATCTCCCGGACGCTGTAGGAGAGGAGAGAGCAAGTGTTGGTGACACATGTTGGGGGTGGAGAGTGGGAATCCCTGTCCCTCAGAAACCACTCACTAGTCAGCCTTCAGCGAGCCTTTGCCTTCAGGATCAAACACCTTGAATGCATTGAGAATGGTCTCCTCGGGGTCAGCCCCTGCAAGAGAAGGTAGGTTCGCCTGTCTGTCAGGACTGGAGTCCCTGGGGCCAAGGGAAGCGAACCCAGGACCCCGGAGCCAGAGGAGCCAGGGCAAGGCCACTTTCCTCAGGGAGATGTGGGTTTGAATGAGGGCTGGGGAGGTGGCTCAACACTTGCTCCCCTTGAGCATGCACATGGCAGCTCACAACTCCTTGGAATGCCAGCTTCTACTAGCCTTCATGGGCAGTACACACATGTGTTATGAATGCACGTATACACATATATAAAAATAGGAACTTAAGGGGAAGCTGAGGAGCCAACAGGAAGTCAAACGTAAGACAACTGATCAGTGTGACTCCCAGATTCTGCGGGCTGCGGGGAGCTTCAAGCAAGTTGCTCTGTCTAACCGGGGGGTTAGAGTAGAGCTGGCCGGCCTCTCAGGTGCTCTGAAATGTGTCCGTACCTGGAGTGGATCAGCCCAAGGCTGGGTAGGAGACTTGGAATAGCCCATTGCTGGGGCAGTGCCCCCTGCTGGAGGAGCGACTCCAGCTAGAGGAGCCTTCCCCTGCTCAGAGAGGGGACCCCTGCTGGAGGAGCATCCCCTGCTGGAGGAGCACCCCCTGCTGGAGGAGCACCCCCTGCTGGTGGAGCACCCCCTGCTGGAACAGCCCCACCTCCAGCTGAAGCAGCAGCCCTGGTGGCTTTATGCTATTTCCTTCGTTTTATTATTTTCCATGAGTCTTTTGCTTGCATGTATGTCTGTGTACTTCATGTGTGTCTGGGGCCCAGAGGGAGCATTGGACCTCCTGGAACTAGAGTTATAGATGGTTGTGAATCACCATGTGGGTGCTGGGAATTGAAGCTGGGTCCTTTGGAAGAGCAGCCAGTGCTCTCAACTATTGAGCTGCCTCTCCAGCCCTGCACACTAATTTTCAATGGGTCCTTGTCCACTTGTGAGCTGCCCGCCTTTCCCCCACGCTTTCTCTTCCCGAGTTTAATTCATGCCCAGAGACGAACACACACACATGCATGTGTGCGCGTATGCTCACCTTTAAGTTTCTCCCCAAACATCGTGAGGAACACGGTGAAGTTAATTGGGCCTGGGGCTTCCTTGATCATTTCATCAATCTCTTCATTTTTCACGTTCACTCGTCCTAGGGGAGACACGGGGGGGGGGGTCAGAGCTGCGAGGGGGCAGCTGCAGTGCTTTGTGATCCAACCTCCGGGAAGCTGGTCTGGGAACCACTGGGGACAGTGGTGTGTGTGTGTGTGTGTGTGTGTGTGTGTGTGAGAGAGAGAGAGAGAGAGAGAGAGAGAGAGACAGGCAGGCAGACTGACAGACAGACCTAGGGCAGATTCTCCCAGCAGTGTTCTCTAGCAGCTAGCCAGCATCTGACATGGAGCCCGCTGACTAAGACAATTGTCAAGGCTTGGGATGTGGTTCAAAGGACTAAGTATTTGCCTAACATGCACAAGGCCTGGGTCCCACCCTCCCGCACATAAACCAGGTGTAGTGGTGAATGCCTGTAATCTAAGCACTGGGGAGGACCAGAACTTCAAGGTCCTCCTGGGTTACATAGCGAAGTTGAGACTAGCCTGGGCTACACAAGACCTGAGCTCATTAAATGAATACATAATGTCTCCAGGCCTGACACCTTTAATGTAAGAAAAGCCCTTAAGTTGCAATGCCCTTCTGAGATGCTGGCAGAGGGCTGTGTCCCCAGTCACCGAGGGAACTCTTTGTCAGGCCTGCTGCAACCCACAGCTGTGGAGCATCACATACCTGCCATCTCTCCTGCCACAGAACACTGTCTTTGTTCAAACTAGACAAAGCTGTCCTCTTCTATGTATTTAAAACAAAAGGCTGCACGGCCGCAAGGTGAGTTTCACCGTGCACCAGCCCACAGAGCTGAGTTCTGAGGACGGGAGCTGGTGGTACCGGGAGGCAAGCTCACACTGCTGAGATGTTAAATAAGCCAAAATCCCAAACAGGGTGACCCCAGTAACTTGAAAAGCAGTTATCTGGAAGGATTTTGGGGATTGAGACTGAAGTGTTGACTGGAGCGTGGTCTTTTGGGTAATTCTGTTTTCTCCTTTATTCTTTCCTGAGTAGTTTGAGTTTTCTATTATGAGGCAGGAATGTGTTATAAAATATGCCCTCTCTGACCACACACACACCACACACACACACACACACACACACACACACACTGGGTTAAAATGAAAGGCGAGGGCATGTAAAGGCCACTGGAGTCACTCCCAAAAGCTGGTGGCAGCTGACACTTTGGAAGATGACAAATGGGTTCTTGGCTTCTTCTGATGCCTGTAGCCCCATCCTCCACCTCCTACCCTGGTTTGGGAAGGGTTTGTGCCACATACCTAGGGCAGCAAATGTGTCCCTCAGGTCGTTCTTGTCAATGAAGCCGTCTCTGTTCTGGTCCATGATTGTGAAGGCCTGTGGGGCAGGGGCGTCAGCTGAGGGGTTTCTGGGAACACCAGGGACCAGGACATAGAGTGGACTGAAGGACTGGAAACAGTCTGAGTTGATTTAACTACAGTCTCCCTGATAGACCCCCAGCCTAGAGAATCAAAATCATGTCCCCATAAAGCCCTGTCCAGAACCTGGGCTGTGGTGGTGCACGCCTTTAATCCCAGCACCTGTGAGGTGGAGGCAGTCGGATCTTTGATTTTGAGGCCAGCCTGGTCTACAGAGTGAGTTCCAGAAGAGCCAGGCCTACAGAGAGAAACCTCATCTTGAAAAACAACAAAAAACCTTGTTCAGAAAGTTCTAGCATGAGCCTTCCTGCCACCCTTCTGCATCTCTCCTCCTCTCTGTTGATCATCTTTTTGCCACCCTCCCCCACCGCCCTCAAAGCACAGGGGTGACTAAGGATCCCAGGACACAGGTGACCAAGTGCTGGTGGGACTGTGGCTCCCCAGCACCTATTCTGGAAACTTCCCTGCATGTCAGCCAGGGGGTGCAGTTACTAAGACCAAGCATTTGTTTAGGAGTTCGCATACAGTCTGGATGAGCCTGCGCATGTGGGCACGGAGGTCATTTCCCGAGTTGGGTGTCCTTCTGTGTGGGGTGGGGTGCGGGGTTGCCACACCTACCTCCTTGAACTCCTGGATCTGGGTCTGCTCGAACATGGAGAATACATTGGAGCTTCCACCCTCTACCCTCTTCTTGGCTTTCTTCGGTGCCTGGGGTGGGGTAAGGGGGAGGGGGCAGTAGACATAGCTGAGCTCTGGGCCAGGCCCTGTCACCTGGTGAGTGGGTCTCCTTTGCCCAGACAACATGAGAGAGAGAATGACACCTAACATCTAATTCTTGCCTCTGCTCCACCAAGGAGACAGATATCCTGGAGGCTCAGAGAGGGCAATTCACTTATCCCAGGTCACACAGCCACAGAAACTAAATCTGTGCTCCTAGCTGCTGTCTGTCTCTCTGACTAGCAATTGGGGACTACTGGTTCTGGGAGGCAGACGCCCACCCAACACTATAAGGGAGAACCTTCCAACATTTGCAAGTTCAAAAGATAGAACCAGAAATACTTTTCCTGGCTGCCAGATGGGGAAAAAATTAAATTTGATCCTTAAAAGCCTCTAGAGTCATTTGGCTAACTCTGGGAGCTACTGATTTCCTCAGAGGCTAGGAAGCAGCAGGTGGAAAAACAAACAAACAAACAAACAAAAAACCACACACACCAAAACTCAAAACAAAACAAAACAAAAACAAACCAAAACAAAAAACCCTCTTGTATTTGATTTTTGCAAGTTCCCTGAGGAGCTGCTCTTTGTGACTCCTTGGGGACACTGATTGGGGTCCTTCTGCATGGCTGGTACAAGGTACTTACCCATCCAGGGCTGGGGGTCTTGCGGGAGCCTCCCTCCCCCTCCAATGGGGTCCTTGTCTTATGGGGGTTGCCTCTTGGCTGCCCACCCTCCATCTTTCCTCAAGGGTCCACTGGCCACTCACCATGGTGTCTGGAGCTGGCTGCTGCCTCTGGAGAATTCGACGAGCCTGCTGGCCCGAGTCTGCAGTGGAACAATAAATACCTCTTCCCTGGCGTTAAAAATAACCCCATGACCACTTTTGGCAGTTGTAGGTGAGGCAGAGGCCACCTAAGCCCCCCCACCCCATGCCGTTCTTCTGAAGTAAGTCTCTTCACTGGCGGCCACTGCCTGGGTTGACACGTGAGACCCAAAAATGCCTTCAAGGTTAAAGAGACAGAGGCTGGGGCCTGGCCTGGGGAGTGATGCTGTGTGTTCTCTGCCACGCCTGTCATTGTCTAATGGGGAAAAGGAACCGAGGAGGAGGTGTGAGCATTCGGCCCTGTATCCAGGCTCCCTCAAACCTCCGAGGGCCTTTGCACCTGCTCAGCTTGGGCACTCTCTGGTGCACCCCATCTTTGCTCAAATGTCACCCGCCCTTGTCTTTTGTCTCCTTTTTCTGCTTTGTGTTCCCACGCCGCCCTGCGGTGTTCATGCTTCTAAGCAGGCAGTGTGATGGACAGCCAGCTCCCCAAGGGTGGGGTCCTCTCTCTGTCGCTGCTTCTTCCTACAAAAAGCTTCTTGGCGGCGGACACTTGTTGACCGACTGCAGAAATGAAAAACGTTCTACACTCACATTCAAGTCTCCAGGCACCCCACGAGAGCCAGGTCACCTTAGCAACTGGGTTTCCGTCTCATAGATATGAAAAAGTAAGTTCAGAGAGGCAGGTCCGCCGCTGGGGACAGTGGTGGAGTGGCCTCTGTCTCCCGAGTACTGGGAGGACCAGATGGGTCACTACACTGACTCATGTAGCCCAGGCTGGCCTTGGACTCACTACGGAGCTGAGGCTAACTTTGGAACCGTGGTCCTTCTGCCTCCTCCTTTTGAGTTCTGGGACGACAAAGAAGAGATCCAGGCAGCCTTCGGGAGGTTATATAGTGAATTCATCAAGTTCAAGGCCAGCCTGGACTACATGACTATGAATAACACAAAACACAGCCAATTGAACAAAATGCCATCCCCCTGGCTTCTGGAGATTCCGTGGAAGTGCATGTGACTGGCCAGGGGCCATGATGGCTGAGGAGGGAGGTGACCCACAATGGTTGTAGAGGTTGAGGTCAGGGGTTACCATAAACCTGAGCCCACAGAGATGACCTGTCCTCACTTTTCCACTGAGCTGTCCGAGGAGCTGGCTTATGTTGCAGTGTGAGGAAAACTTTTGTCGATCTGAGGTCTTCAGAGCCTGAGCCTCCATGGACCCCGAGGTCTCTGGGCACCTGTTTGTTCTGGTTAACATGGATGTGCTAACTGTCCCTTGGGTTGTTGGACTCAGTAAAGGAGACCAGAGGATTCTGGGATCATGGTAGCCCAGCTAGGGCTCAGAAAACCACCTGGGCTGGAGACACACGGATTCCGAACTCTGAGTCAGAGGTCAGATCCTTGAGGGAGGCTTCGGGAGGCCCAGGTTGGGTCCATGCATTGGACTCAGCTCTCTCCTCAAAGTTCATGGTGGAGGTGCACAGGGGCTGGCGCTGCTCTGTCCCTAGGCTCTCAGGTGACACCCACCCTGTGGCCCCAAGCTCTCACTGCTTATGAGATTTCTGCAGCCTAGGAGTTTCCGAGACCACTGAGCACAGAGAATCAGGAGCTCCCAATTGGAACTGTCAGGGCCTCCAGAACAATTGAGAACAAAGTGAGGGTGTCGCTTTCCCACCGCCTTTACAAAAATACAACGGTAAACCCAGTGGGCCGGAGCAGCCAAGCTTGCTGCCTGGCAGGGCTGGCAGTCAGAAATAGAAGTCAGGCAGAGGGCTGTGTCCCGCTGTGGATATGCGGACAGTCTCTTCCTTACCCCTTCCAGCTCCTGGCAGTTGCCAGCATTCCTGGGCTTACATCCCCATCAGCGCAGCCTCTGTCTGGCTCTTCTGACTGTTCAGGGACCCTCACAACAATCTTACATGTGTTTAAATGCATGGAACAATATACACCAAAGAACAAAAGGAAAGCAGGACATCCTGCCCCCCAAAAGAAACAAATGCCAATATTATTGAATGGTGTCTATATTCTTTCAGGGGTGGAGAGGTGGATCAGCATGAGGTCCTGCATTCTACCCCAGAAGCCCACATAAAGCCAGGCATGGAGTGCTATGGGCCTGAAAGCCCATCACAGGGGAGATGGGGGCAGAAGGATTTCTCTGGCTCCCTGGCCAGCAAGCGGAACCTAAACATAGGCCTCAGTGACAGATACCCTTTCTCAAAAAATAAGATAGATGGCCTCTGAGAAATGACCCCCAAGTTGACCTCTGGCCTCTGCAGACACACACAGGTACATGACAGGTACCTGAACCCACTTGAGTGTGAACACACACACACACACACACATGCATACCACAGGCATACACAAATAATAACCCATTGGCAGTTTCAAGAGATAAGAAAGCCAGGAGGTGGTGGTGCATGCCTTTAATCCCCGCACTTGGGAGGCAGAGGCAGGCGGATCTCTGTGAGTTTCAGGCCAGCCGCAGTCCACGGAACACATTCCAGGACAACCAGGGCTACACAGAGAGACCCTGTCTGGGAAAACCAAAACCAATAAAAAAGAAAGAAAAATGTTTCTTTGGCACAAAGGGATGGACAGAAGTGACTCGTAGTGGTTCTGGTTGTGGGGGCATCAGCGTGTGCCAGGCAGGGGCCGTCTGAAGAGAAGGCACAGTCGTGAAGAAGGGTGAAACACACCAGATTCTGCAGTTCGAGGAATCACAGGTACTTCTCACACAGTGCCTGGCAGAAAGGCGTGGCCCAGCCAGTGAAGAAACTCAGCCCACCTGGGAATGTCTGGGCTTCTAGGGAGGCGAAGACAGAGGACTTGGCATCTGCCTGACTGGAGACAGGGGGAGATATTCACCTATGATTTTCCTTGCTTGGGCACCGAGCAGCTGTGTGACATCTGGTAGGTGTTTTTGCCCTCTCTGAGCCTCAGTGTGCTCATCTGTAGAGTGGGCATGATAATGATGTTACTCTCTTGGAGTTGTCAGGAGGATGACAGCAGATTATTTTTGTGGATGTGGTTATTTTGTGGGTGTTGACCTGGGGACCCCTGTTGGGGTGAAGCACCTTTTAACTTTCCTACCAGGCCTGGGGATTGGTCTGATGGTGGGGGCAAGCTTGGAAGTGGAGGGTCCTTTCCCCACAGGCTGTGGGCAGTATGGACACCCGTGATCAAGGCCTCCGTCTGAACCGGGACCTGATACCTCCACCTGGGCTCACGGTGCTCTTGAAGATAGCCACGGAAGGAGGGTACTCATTCTACTGGCCTCAGGCCCTGCGTGGAGCTCACCACTGCTCAGGACCTGTTAAAGTAACAGTTTCATTTTTGAACGAATGAGTGAGCCGCACTGGAGTCAGAAATGTGTGAAGCCAGGACAGCAGGGTAGGAGCAGCAAGGGGAGATTGGGGCTGGAGCTCCTAGCTTTGGCAAAAATAAACAGAATAATAAGGGCTGGAGAGAGGACTTGGATGTTAAGACTCACTGCTCTTCCAGAGGAACTGAGTTTGATTCCCAGCACCCAGGTAAGAAGGCTCAACACCCACCTGTAACCATAGGTATAGGGATTTGTCGCCCTCTTCTGGCCTCCCAGAGCAATGCACTCTTGTGGACATATCCACACACACAGGCACACACTCACATAATTTAAAAGACTAAAACAAATCTTAAAAAAAACAAAACAAACAAAAAAAAAAAAAACAAAGGCTGAAACAGGATCCCTGCTAAATTGAACAATTTGGCCTGGGGGAGGGGTGCAGGGGTGTTTTATGCCTTTTATCCATCTGTTTGAGAAAGATTCTCACTATGTGGTCCAGGCTGATCTTGAACTTGTGACCCTCCTGCTGCAGCCTCCTGAGTGCTGGGGTCAGAGGCCTGGACCACTATGCCCAGCTTGGGGCAGATTTGAACTCATCTTCTCTGCAGGTGCCTATCGCATGCCAGCCCAGAATGGAGTCCATGCTGGGTGGCTCAGCTGTCAGGAGTGAAGCCCCTTGTCCCTTGCCGACATGGCGGGTTTCGAAACGTCTTAGCAGAGCCCATGAGTCCAGGGTGTGGGCTATCCAACTGAAAGGCAGAGCCAGGTGAGGGGAGGCACCTACCATGGCTCGCTGGTCTCTTTGGGAAGTGGCCTCACCATGGCCAACCTTCCTTGGGTGTGCAGGGCCCTTTAAGGAGGGTGATGGTGTCCTAGTCTTTGTAGAAGGAAGGTCCAGCCAGCCTAGAGCTGTGGCTGATGGCTGTTGTCACCAAGGATAGTTTATCTCCTTCTGTCAAGACTCCGAAGGTGTTGGTGACAGCGGCCCCTGGGGAAGCAGCCACTTCAGCTAGCAGGGTGTGTGTGTGTGTGTGTGTGTAATAAAGGGAGGGAGGTTGGCCCCCTGCTAGGGGCCACTGGGCACTGAGTGCTGCTCTGCCAGGCACCTTGGCTCTATGCTTCAGTCAGTTACCCCTACAAGATGGACACACAGAACTACCTTCAACATTCTCGAATGCTCCTGGGCACAGATACATTCAGTCAGGTCAGCTCTTACACAGGACACTGGGCAGACACAGAAGCACCACAGTGTGAAGTCCTTCTTGCACCTCTCTGTCCCCCAACTCTTCATTTCTAACTCACCCACTAGGGACCAGACCCAAATCCCCTGCAACCTTGATTCAACCCTTGACATGTTTTCCTATTCCGCCCCTATGATGCCTGTAAACACAGTTCCCTCTAGCCCTGCCCCAGATCTTTCCAGTGGTACTCTGGGGTCTCCCCTCTCTCACCACCCTACACCCACCCTTCACATACTCCTATTCCAACTCTGTCCCCACTCGGACGGCCCCTCTGGACCACTCGCCCCTCCTTAGCCTGATAGTTAAGATCACTTAGCAATTGACTTTGACCTACTAGAGTGCTTCAGTCATTAAAGGCTGGGGCCCCTGCCCAGATGACTTCACCAGACCAGACCCTGGCATCTTCACTCCATGAACAAATAAATAGCTCTAATATTACAACACTGTTGTTATAAAATGATGGTGGGCAACAGCTTACATGTACTTACATGTGCTGTGGCTGCAGGCAGATCCGGTATGGGAGGACAGACAGACAGACAGACAGA